GAGATCTGCTGAAATAAGATTCTTGTGTAAGTGGTAAGGGAAAGTGTCTAGTACACATGCAGAGGAACCGGCCTTATGTAAGAGTATGGACAGCTCATCACTAGTAACAGGGGGGAAGGCAAAGCATTTGTCACAGGTAAGCTGGTCAATATGGTGGTGGAAGTCTATGGAAATTACCATCCATCCATTTCTCCTTTCTCCATGATGTCTAATTTATCTACCTAGAGATAAGAACAGTATGTTACATATAACCCATACCCAATAAATATTTGATGAATGAAAATCTATGGGGAAGCAGCAGGATTTGATAGAGTGCTTATGGTAAGGTGTGTGAGGAATAAAGTATTCAATATGACACTTGACTCTACTCACGCTTTCCCTCCACCTCTGAGCCTCTGGACAATAACCTTTTCAGTTCTTTCCTACCCCAGGGCCTTCCCACATGAGTTTTCCTCTAAAAACCCTCTCCCATTTTCTTTCCTTACCCAACCCCTACTCATCCTTAAGGTCTCATTTTACATTCCAGTTCCCTTGGAAAATCTCGACAATTCTCCGGATTAGGTTAGAGGTTCCCTGCTTAGGATTCAATTTTCATCGCGTTTCATTGCGCACTGCTCATCGCCATCATGCCTGTAAATGGAGAGCCTAGTACAGCCTTCGGCTTTCAGTAAAACCACGTAAATATTTATGCGTTGAATATGTCCGTTAACTCTGTGCAAACAATCCCCAAAACAGGTATCTCCATAAGAAAACGCGACTGGAGATCATTCAATTATTCAGTGACCAGGCCTGGAACTGACTCCATTCCGGAGTGCCTACCAATAGCCTAGCTACAGAAAAATGAGGCCTAATTTTTCCCCTAGAGAAACGGCGGATAAAAGGGAAAGACGTGAATCTCGTCTGAAATGATGGCTGGATTCGCTTTCTGCCGTTCTCCCCTCAACCTCCCTACTGCAGCTTCGGTGCAGCGTAATCCTGGCCCTCGGGTGCCTCGCCAACCTTCCCACAGAGCCGCGAGCACGCGAGCTCAGACTTACCTGGGCCCCGCCCACCGTCCCATGCAACCGCAATAGGCACATGAGCCCGGGCAAATGTGGAACCGAACAGACAGGGGGATGCACAGGAGCAACGGTAGACCCCGTTCGCGGCTGCAGCAAACCGGAAACGCTCTCCAGCAGCAGCAGACGAAGACGCGGGCCCGAGTTCATCGCCGAGAGACCCCCGGTTCCCCCGGGAACCCCAGCCGGGGAGCCCGCTGAGGGCCCACTAAGAACGGCTGCCGCCATCTTCCCCGGGCTCTACTGGTGGCGTGGCGCGATGACGCAAACACACCGCGACGGACGCGTCTTGAGAAGGGGGCTTACGGAGGGGGTTGTGATCCTGCGCACTGGCTGAATGGAGGTGGACTCCCGGGCTCAGGCTGAGTGGGAGCATGCGCGGGGTGGAGGGGCCCCGGGGGCTGAGGCAGCGGGAGTGTAGCATCTCCTGTGTTCGGGGATGGCCTATAAGGCCCGCCCGGGGCGGGACGGAGGCGGGCTTGTGGTCCTTAGTAAACACGTGGTCCGGACAAAAGGCGCTGAAATCCGAAAATTTTCCTTTAAACAGTTTTAGACACCTTCGTTCTGGGATTTGGTAATACCTTATTTAAGAAACCACTTGTCTGAAATCACATTTTTAACCTCAAGTCCGGAAATGATATAATATACGTGCCTTTGGAGGGCATCAATTATAAAGAAAACCTTCTCTTTTCCAAAGGCACTCCCCCAGTAACGTGTGTATAATATTAATTCATGCACAAACACATAAATGAATAGTTTATCTTACAACAAGAGGGTGTGCACTTGGCTTTTTAAATTCATATATCGTGAGCGTTTTTAAGCTGCGTAGGATGAATGAAATACACGTGCTACGACCTAATAGTTCCATTGATGAATTTCTGCACCAATTTTTTTTAATATGTCATGTGAACAGATATCTTTTTTTAAAAAGAGTGTGTGTGTGTGTAGAGAGAGAGAGAGATTTTTTTTTAATATTTATTTATTTATTTATTTATTTTGGTTTTTGGCGGACACAACATCTTTGTTTCTATGTGGTGCTGAGGATCGAACCTGGGCTGCACGCATGCCAGGCGAGCATGCTACCGCTTGAGCCACATCCCCAGACCCTGCACCAATTTTTCACCAATACATTATAAGTGAACACCCCAATACCTCATTCTGTATTGAGTGATGGTTAGATTCAAATACAAGAGTCATCCTTTTTTCTGCTAGATCTCTATCCAATTCTTCAAATCCTGATATTCTGCTTCCGAAATACATTAACCCAAGAGGGCTAATTTTTTTCATTTTTCCATCTCTGGTGTCACTCTGATCTAACTTACCATCCTCACTCACCTGGCTTCTTATAAGCTCTTACAAAGGTTTATTTATTCATTGTTTTCTGCCACCCTTTTGCTTTCTAGTCCCTCCACACAATAACCAGAGGATTTTGGTTTTTGGGGTTTTAGTGGTTCTTTGTGTGTGTGTGTGGGGGGGGGGGTGTTGTGTTTGCTACTAGGGATTGAACCCAGGGAGCTTAACCACTGAGCCACATCCCCAGTCCTTTTTATTTTTTTATTTTGAGACAGAGTCTCACTAAGTTGCTTAGCACCTTGCTAAATTGCTGAGGCTGACTTTGAACTCCAGATCCTCCTGCCTCAGCCTCTGGAACTGATTGGATTATAGGTGTGCAGCACTGCACCAGGCTCCCATGTATATAAGCTTTTGTCACTTCCACCTTAAAGCCCTTCTGTGGCTTTCAATCAAGATGCTGAAGATGTAGCTCAGTTGGTAGGTCCTTGGATCTCCAGCACTGCACAAAACAAAAAACAAAAGTGATGACAATGAAATACTGTCTCTCTGGAGATACCTTGAGCCCAGGAGTTTTTGTTTTGCTGTTGATATTGTTTTGTTTGTTGGCAGTACTGGGATTGAACTCAGGGCACTTTTCCACTGAGCTACATCCCTTTTTCATTATTTTTCATTTTTGAGAGAGTCTCATTAAGTTGCCCAGGCTGGCCTTGAATTTATGATCCTCCTGCCTCAGCCTCACCAATAGCTGGGATTACAGGCATGCACCACCATGCCTGGCTGAGCTCAAGGGTCTGAGACCAGCTTTGGCAACATAGAGAGACTCTGTCTCAAAAAAAAGAAAAAAAATGCCAGGAACGATGTTGCTCACCTGAATTCTCAGCTATTCAGGAGGCACTGAGACAGGGGATCCCAAGTTTGAGGCCAGACTAAGTGACTTAGTGAGACCCTCTTAAAATAAAAATAAAAAGGGCTGAGGTGTAGTTCAGTGGTAAACTACCTCTGGGTTCATGCCCCAGTACAAAAAAAGAAAAAAATAAAAGGCCAATCTGGGTGTTGAAAAAATCTAATTAGTGAAATAGAATAACTTTTCATAGAATAACTTTTCATGTTTAGTAGACATTTATATTTCTTCTTCATTGCCTTTCATGTCCTTAACCTATTTGGGTTCTGTAGAAATTCTTTGTAGATATGGGAAATTATTGCAAGGCATTTCTACCAATTTGTCCTTTTATTTTTTTAGTTCATTTGATGAGATTATAGGAAAAGAGATGAAAGGAGAAATACTTTATCTCCATAAGTCATCCTTTATTCTCCCTCAAGTCCAATCTCACTCAAGAAATGACTCCAGTATGGCCCTCTTCTCTCTTCCATTCTACCAACCATCATTTTCTTTTGACTAGTTTATGTACTGCAGTCTTGTCCAACTCCTTCCACCCTCCAGATTGCCCAGAATTATCTTCCAAAAAGAGAAATCTCTTCATGTCACTCCTCTTGCTAAAATAATAATAATAATAATAATAATAAATTAATTAATAAAGTGTTTCCAGGGAAAGACCTCAGTCCACTTTCTTCACCTACTATACCAAACAACGTGTTCCAGTCTTTCCCCTTTCTCTTTCCTGCCATCTAACCCTGTGAACACTTCAGAAGAGGATGTGACTTGACTTTTTCCCTCTTTGGAATGCCCTTTCTCCACATCTGCCCATCTTTCAAATTTCCTTCCTATGGACAGTCTTCACTCTCTCCACCCCCATGCTGGCCAAGCGCTTTTAGTTGTTTTGTCTTCTGAGTCATACCTCTATTATAGCATCCATAGGATCATAAAACCTGTTTGTGTGTGTCCTCAAGTATACAAGGAAAACAGGGGCCAGGGTACCCCATAGAAACTAGCATAAAATAGGGATGGATGTATCGATGGATGAATGAGTGGGTGGATGTTAGCTGGGATGGGTTGGTAGAGGAGGTGGAAAGTCGGAGAAATTTTAAAAACGAACCGTGTATGTCGAACACATACACCAGGGGGAGCTGAGACACCACAATAAAACGGGAAGGCGGGTCAAAGGCTTTAAGCTCTGGGGTGAGAGGCACTCACTAAAGCAAGCATCACGCAACTAAGAACCGCTCACCCACGTGTGCATTACCCAGTCCTCCTTCGCAGACTGTGTTTGAGCTCATCCCACCTCCCCCGCCACCAGCGTCGCCTCCACAGCCACTGAGAAAGCAAACAAAGGGGAGGGCACCCCTGCAGAGCTCCGGCTGCCAAGAGCCAATCAGTGGGCTCTTAGTATCAGGGAAGGCTGGTGCCTTCATTTAAAGGGGCCCAATCGGTTTCTAAGGGATTGAGGAGGGGCGGAGAGATGGGCTGGAAGAGCGGGAGTAAAACAGCGCGCGCAAGAAGGCTCCCCTAGGGAGGCCGAGGGCTGAGGCGTGGGGCGGGACCCAGGGGCGGCCCTGTCTGAGTGGAGAGGGCAGGCAGCGGTGCGGCGCGCGCGATCTGGCTGACGCATCTGGCCCTAGTTCCCCAGGACCTGAGGGGAGGGGGAAGAGGAGAAAGAGCCGTGGGCGCGCGTGCGCAGTGGCGCGGGGAGGAGCTGGGACCTGGCAGTGGGCGAGAAGGCTGTGAGCAAGCCCGGAACCCGGAGGGCAGGGGGTGCGCGCACCATGGGGGAGAAACCCGGGACCAGGTAAGGGAGGTGGGGCCACGCGGCGGGGCACGGCCGGTGGCGGCTCGCCGTAAGTGCCAGTATGGTCCCCAGACAAGGACAACGGGGAAAGAATCTCGGGCCGGACCCCTGGGTCCCTAGGGGGCAGCCATCCGGGGCCGCACGCCTAGGTCCTCGAGGATAATGGGGTGGGGGGGGCTGTGTGCGACTCATGTCTGGGCCCCTGTAGAAAGCGAGGCCTGTCGTCGTGCGACCAATGGATTCTCCTGTGCAGGCTGCGATGCAGGGGCGGAGGAAGAAGGAGCAGGTGGCCGGCCCCAAGAGGTTGTGTACTAGGAGACTGATGCTGGGAGGGGATCCTCCCTAGACTCAGACTTAACCAATGGAAAGCCTCCTGTCCAATACCCCACAGGCATTCGGGCTGCCCCCACCTGTCCCAAAGGCCCGGAGCTCTGCTTCCAAACTTCTGCCTTTCCCCGTGTTGCTAGGAGCAGCAGCTTCATATTGAGGGAGCAGAGTGCTTAGAGACCCTCTATGAGATTAGGCCGAATCCCTCTTCTGGGGATGGGGGAGTATCAGCCCTGGGCACAGCATCCACTCCCCGGATGTTTTCTGTGCAATTGAGGCTCCTTCCTTCCACTGACACCCCGAGTTCTCGTTTTTTTTTTTTTTTTTTTTTTTTTTTTTTTTTTTTTTTTTTTTTGGTCTCTAGCAAAATCCACTTCCTGTTGTGACCAACACCCCAAGGGGGCAGAGGGTGTATGCCTTAGTCCCAGGGGAGTAGGAGCAAAAGAAAAAAAGGTTGGGGTTATATGCCTCAAAGCAGAGGGGATCAGGAATGGGAGCTTGGTCACTAATTCTGCAAAACATCATATAAATTCCACCACTCCTCTCACCCATATAATATGAGAATTCAGGTTTCTGAGCATCAAGAGGACCAGTGTCCGATAGAGATAATCAGAGGGAAGACTGACATCCTGGGTTAGGAGTTAAACACCCCACAGAAAGGGGAAGTCACAGACTTGAGGGAGGCCCCCTGATTTCCGTTGTGTGGTTCATGGAGGGGGACGGGTGGACCAAAGTGGACTGCTGACTTGGCATGATTCCCTCCACCCTCATCAAATTCTGGGCCATAGGAAATGGAGAGAATAGCAGGAAGTGCAAAGGGGCATCTGCTTCAGCTACCCTCCCCCTGACTCCAGACACCTCCCTGATCATTCCCATACTCTGCTTCCTTGACCAGCTTTACTATGTGCATGCTCTGCTCCCTAGCATGGCAAGAGGTGGCTGGGATAAGATCCAAAAGGCAAGTGTCCTGTAGTTGCTCCAGAACTATTGACCCAGAGCCACATTCCAGTTGGCCAACTGACTGTGGCTGTTGCAGCCCTTTGCCAGGGCTCCTAGTGGGAGGAAACACTGGGACAAAGAGGAAAACCAGAAGCTGAGGGCAGGGAGAGTCTGGATGATGCCATAGCAAGTTGGAAAATAAGGTAGGGTCCTTATTCTAGCTGCCACTGTGTCCATGTTTACACTCCTTTATGATTGGGGATATCTGGGACACTCCATACCTTTGCCATATGACCTTTGGACAGCTTGGCTTCAGGAAAACGGGACAAGGAAGTTGTAACAGAAACTTGTGGTGGAGAATTTCAATTTCTATTATCTGGGTACCCTTCCTAGGGATTGCTGCTGATGACAAATTATTGATGCTAGTTACAAAGCATAGTGAAACAGTTTGGTGATTAAAAGCAGGGACTTGGAGCCAAGTTGCCTCAGTTTGTGGAGGCTCACCATTTACATTCTGTGACCTTAGACAAAATTCTTGATCTCTCCAAACCCCAATTTCTTCACCTGAAAATAAAAATATTAGGACTTTCATCATTGGATTAAGAGCATTAAATATCACATTTGGAACAGTGCTAGGCATGGAGTATTCACCCAGTAAATGTTAGCAAGCATCATGAATTTCATCATATGGCTGTTACTAAACTAGGGATGCCTAAATGAACAAGGCTTTGGAACTCACGGTGTAAGGAGACAGAAAGATGGTACACAGCTAAATTCCCTTGTGTGCTGTCACTTGTCATGCAAGTAAAATATGAACAAGGTGTGATAGGATTCACAAAAAAGGAGTGGGCTGGGGTCTAAGCTGGGTCTGCATCCTAAAAGAGGTGTTATGTGAGCTAAGCTTTGAAAGATGAATAGACTTTTTAAGCTGCTGAGATCAGAGATGGGGACAGTTGGTGGTTAATAGAAAATAGCTCCTGTGGTAGAAACCATTTGAGGGACAAAGTCCAGAGCCATTGCTCTTCCATGTACCCCAACTGTCATTGGAGCTAGAGGGCAAATGGAAAAATGGTTAGTTCTGACTCTGGACACTGCTGCAGCTTGCCCATTCAGGTCCCCTCTGGGGCAGATACTCTGGGAAGAGTCTGGATGGTTCCTGGGGCAACCAATGGCCATCACTGTGGATTGAAGGGGACTAGTGAGGGTGGACCAAGGACAAGAGAAGGAGCATTTGCTCTGGTAACGAGCTTCAGGGGGCTGCCATGTGAGAAATGTAAGGGACTTATCAGAAAGTGGGAGGGGTAGAGCTGGGTAAAGTCTCCAGCCAGGGTTAAGGGTGAGCTCTGCTTCTCAGGCTGGGGAGGGATAAAGTCCTGGCATGGGGGTCCCTGCTGAGTCTGAGGGAGGCAGTGGGGTTTCCCTTTCTGTTTTGTTAGGGTCTTCAAGAAGTCGAGCCCTAACTGCAAGGTGAGTCACCCAAAGTACTTATCCTTTGACCCTCCCTGGGCCCTACCAAAGCCCAGCCTTCCCCTAGACAACCCCCAACACTAGCTCCCCACTTCCTGTGACAGCTAAGAGCTGACTTCCTTTGCCTCTTGAAGCCCCTTGCTTCAGAGGCTGCTCAGCCTAAGCCAGCCACAGGGCTGGGTGAGGACAGGCCCAAGTCCTTATAGCAACACTAAAGAAAAAGAGCCACAAGCAAGCCCAGTTCCTTGTAACCCTTTAGGAGCCAACCCATTGAGCCTGGGGCTGGGAAAAGTTAACAACCCCCCAGGCTATGGCCTGTTCATCCCAGAGCACCTTGAGAGGTGAGCCTTCTGTGCCAAATCACTAGCACTGTTCTCTGACCTGCTGATTGGGCTATCCTCTCCCAAACACATACACCTGACTGGTGAACAGAGAGGAGAAGAGAGATAAAAGAGCAGCTAAAAAGCCTAAGAAGTTTGGTTTGATAGCCCAGCCTGGGCCTGGAGCAGGGCAGCCACTTTTGAGGGCTTTGATGCCTTGTCACCATCCTCCCCAATCCTCCCTGTGACTCCTTGACATCCTCAGCTCACCGTGTACTTGGGCAAGAGGGACTTTGTAGATCACCTGGACAAAGTGGACCCTGTAGGTAAGTTTGTCCAGAAGGGGACAGCTTACTCCCCCAAAGGGGAGGAGATTCCTAAGCCTGGGAATGGGGAAGAAGTCCCTTCAAGAAATAAACCTGTGTCCTTTTCCTAGACGGTGTGGTGCTTGTGGATCCTGACTACTTGAAAGACCGCAAAGGTATCAGCCCCAAATCCAAGGGGCCTGAGGGGAGGTGGGGAGGAGAGAATGAGATGGACTGGCATTGGAAGGTGCCACAGAGAGATGGAGGGCTGAGGCAGAAGGAATTCTTATGCTACCAAAAAAGAAGCTATGGCTGCTTAGGTACTTGGAGGCGTTGGGGAAAGGGGTTCTCCTGACCACCCCACCTTGCCCTCCCTTACCAGTGTTTGTGACCCTCACCTGCGCCTTCCGCTATGGCCGCGAAGACCTGGATGTGCTGGGCTTGTCCTTCCGCAAAGACCTGTTCATCGCCACCTACCAGGCCTTCCCCCCAATGCCCAACCCACCCGGCCCCCCACCCGCCTGCAGGACCGGCTGCTGAGGAAGCTGGGCCAGCATGCCCACCCCTTTTTTTTCACAGTGAGAATGCTCTCAACTCTCTGCTGGGCAAGGGGTCTGGGATCATGGTGGGGCAAAAGGGGTGAGGCATCTATTTTGAGCAGATCTAGAAGAAACAAGTGAGGCAGGTGCCCTAGATTCACCACCCTTTAAGGAAGCAACTTCTATGGTTTAACCATTCCCCACTTCCTGGAGCCCCAGGAAACCTTAGTATAGGCCTCCTCCCTGGGGCCTCTTATCCCCAGGTGCCCTTTGTCCAGCTTCTTAAATTGAGATTGGGATGAAGACATGAGTCTTTCTGGAGGCACTGAAGTTTCCCCTTTCCTCTGCTACAGATACCCCAGAATCTACCCTGCTCGGTCACACTGCAGCCAGGACCAGAGGACACAGGGAAGGTATGGAAGGAATGGCTCTGAGGACACATGGGCAAAACAAAGTTGAGCAAGACCCAGAGCATAACTGAGCAGAGAGTGAAACTGCAGGGGTGGATAGGGGGATATCCCCTACCCCATAGATGTGTGTGTGTGTGTGTGTGTGTGTGTGTTCACTGCACAAGTGACACTGTCTCCTGCTCTTGACCTGCATGCACATGGGTACAGGGGTTGCCCGTATACTACCATAAATGAGCCTCTGCAGGCTTGGAGGCAGCGGGGGAGATAATCCCTGCACTCCTCACAGCAATGGGGCAAGAGTCCCTGCCCAAGACAAGAAACCTGGAGGAAGGAAGGGGAGTAGTGGAGATGAGCGCAGGAGTCTTGGGTAAGATGTGGCCTTTCCTCCCCCCTCCCAAGGCCTGCGGGGTAGACTTTGAGATTTGAGCCTTCTGTGCCAAATCACTAGAAGAGAAAAGCCACAAAAGGAACTCTGTGCGACTGGTGATCCGAAAGGTACAGTTTGCCCCAGAGAAACCAGGCCCACAGCCTTCAGCTGAAACCACACGCCACTTCCTCATGTCTGATCGGTCCTTGCACCTTGAGGCTTCTTTGGACAAGGAGGTGGGATGCTAGAGAGTGATGAAAGTGCCAAGGCAAAACTGACCCTGGGGGCAGGGATGAAGCCACAAGCAGTTGCCTCTGCTGGGTGTGGAGTTGCTATGGGCTAGGGCTCAGGGGAGGGGGCACACCAAGAACGGGACCAGTGAAAAACAGGTGCAATTCATGTAACGCCTGCCCCCCCCCTTCAAAAGCTATACTACCACGGGGAGCCCCTCAGTGTCAATGTCCACGTCACCAACAACTCCACCAAGACCGTCAAGAAGATCAGAGTCTCTGGTAGGAGACAGGGTTGGAAGGGTATCTTGGGGGAGGGAGTCCCTGCATAAGTGACTTTTGTTAAGATTTCAGTCCAGGTCATATCCCAGTGTGGGAGACCTGCCAGGGCACAATGAATTTAGAGAATGTTATCTAGACCTCAGTATTTCCTGTGTTAGGGATAGTAGGTAGGGGTGTGCTGGGGTTTGGGGCCCACCCCACATGGTCTGGAATGGTGCCACAATGGTAAGTCTACGCTCCATCCAGAGCTGTTCCACCCCCACCCCACAGTGAGACAATATGCCGACATCTGCCTCTTCAGCACTGCCCAGTACAAGTGCCCCGTGGCTCAACTTGAACAAGAGTAAGTATCACAACAGGCCTGCGGGTCCCAATCTTAGAGAGGAGTAGGCCAGGGGAATATGAAGTGAAGGGCAGAATTTATTTCCTGAACCATCTCACTCCTAAGGTTGTTCTCTACACAGTAAGGTGGCTCTGAGCTGTTCATTTTCTTGAACAGACTGAGCCAAAACCTACCCTATGTAACCTGTGCCTAAAGGGACAAAAAGAGGTAGGCTGCCCCATCATCCAGCCTAGCCTCTCCAAGATTCTTGTCCCTTTGTTTCTACCCCAAGTGACCAGATATCTCCCAGTTCCACGTTCTGTAAGGTGTACACCATAACCCCACTGCTCAGTGACAACCGAGAGAARCGTGGTCTTGCCCTGGATGGGAAGCTCAAGCATGAGGACACCAACCTGGCTTCCAGCACCATGTGAGGCGGGGCTGAGTGCCCATGGGGCAGGAGACAGGGCTGGTTGTGTGTCAGGCTCTGTTCTAGATATCAGGAAGGTATCAGTGAACAGGAGACCAAAAACAATTCCCCCGCTCCCCCAGGAGAGAACAGTTGATCAGATAAAGGGTAAAATATGCATAGCATGTTAAGGGACAAGAGTTAAGGAGAAAAAAGCAAGCACAGACTGGAAATCTAGAGAGGGGCAGGTCTGCATTGATTTTAAATAGGGTAGCCAGAGGTGCATTTTGAGGAAGGAGGTGTTGTGAATATGCAGACCAAGTGTGCTCCAGGCAGAGAGAGCTGTAAGCCCTAAGACTCCAGAGATGGGACAGGCCAGTGTATCTAAGGAATTGTTAAGTGCCCTATGGCCTTGGGCAGGAGCAGCTCCATTGGTCCAGAGCTTTACAAAGGGCTGGATCAAACCCCAACTGGGCACACAGTGCACACTGCACACAGAAGGCCTGGAGGCCAGCATAGTGAGAAAGAACCAAAGGAGAGGAGTAGGTGAGGGGAACAGGATCTGCAAGGTTCTCGGGTTAGAAAGACTGAGCTTTTGTTGCCAGGGATGAGGCCCCAGGAGGGTTCTGAGCAGGGGAATGCTGCGGTGTCCTTTGCCAGTGCTGCTGGAATCCTGGGGTATAGTGTGACTTTGTAGTCCAGCTCAGAATCCTGATGGAAGCCACGGGGTTGTGTGAGGTGACAAGGCAATGAATGGGCCACCTGATCCAATATCTCCCCACAATTGCAGAGTAAAGGAGGGTGCCAACAAGGAGGTGCTGGGAATCCTGGTGTCCTACAGGGTCAAGGTGAAGCTGGTAGTATCTCGAGGCGGGTGAGTATGGCAGAACCTGGTAGGGGTCACAGTGGTTCTCTCTGGTTCCACATCATTGTTGTCCTCTTCATACATCCTCTTTCTCCCAGGGATGTCTCTGTGGAGCTGCCTTTTGTTCTTATGCACCCCAAGCCCCATGACCACATCACCCTGCCCAGACCTCAGTCAGGTGAGCACTCTGCCCACCCTGCACCCCCAGCAAGGCCAGTGGAGAAAATTTGATCCTTCCAGCACCTGCCCACCCTGCACCCCCAGCAAGGCCAGTGGAGAAAATTTGATCCTTCCAGCACCTGCCCACCCACCCACTCTCTCTTCTCCCCTCAGCTGTTCCCGAAACAGATGTCCCTGTGGATACTAACCTCATTGAATTTGATACCAAGTAAGAAACCCAGAGCTATACCTTCCTACTTTGACCTTCTTTGCAGATTCCCATAATATCCAAATCTACCCTTATACCTCCTGGGGTTATTTGTTTTCCTTGGGGGGTAAGAGGGTGGTTGAATATTGGATGACTCAGCCTTGTAAGACTCCCTATTTCTGTCCTTTTCCATCCCTTCTGGTTCCATTGTTGTTTAAACACCTCTGCCCCTGGGAGGGGGTAGGGAGCAGAGGGGGAAACAGAAAGAAGGGTCACAAGCCTTTACCTCATCCCTCTCCTTTCTACCACCAAGCTATGCCACAGATGACGACATTGTGTTTGAGGACTTTGCCCGACTTCGGCTGAAGGGGATGAAGGAYGACGATTATGATGACCAATTCTGCTAGGAAGGGGGGCTGGAAGAAGGGAGTGGATGGTGCTGGGAGAGGTAGGGACAAGACCAAGATCCCTGCTATGGAGGCGGGGGTGTCCCTGCTTCTTTTCCTTCCCCTCCATCCAGCAGTTTCCTCAACCAACCCCTTTTCTCACTCCCCCTTTACCCCAGATACGCACTGGACCCATCACTTGTTTAAAGTGGGCATTAATCTTTTTACTACAGCTCTGCTTCCCCAGTTGCCCAGTGGGTGGCAAGCTGTGTTCATACATGAATTTTTTGGAGGGGGACAACAAGGAGTGAGAGTAGGGAAAGGGGAAGAACTCCCATATTCAATTTCACACCAACACAACTGCCCCCTCCAGTCACTCTCTGCCTCCCATTCCTCCAAGATAAGACCCTGCAGAGGCAAAGCTGTTTCTTTGTTTCTGAGCATAAACAAGAAAATAAACCTTTTAATAGGCATGAGTGTGTGTGTGTTTTCCCTGTAGTGTTCAGTGCGTAGTGTGCGTATCCACAATTCCTTTCTGTACCCTCAGGGCACCTGACATCAGGCTATCAATAAATGTTTATTGAATGATTGTGTGTTCCTGTGTTCCAAAGTAAACACTGCAACTTGATTTGGTCACTCCACACTCAAGTTTAATAAGGCCACAAAGTAAACTGTCATTTACAGGGGAAATAATAATTAACTTCCCCACAGACAGGATGCTCCCTCCCAGGAGTTGAGCAGGGTGGGCTCTTCCCTGTTATGCCTGATGACATAGGACAGCATTGTGACCTGTTGTGACCTAGCTGGTTTCATTCCCACTTCTCCTTATGGTTACTCAAGTAGTCCGCTCCTGGGGCTCAGTGGGACCACATCTGCACACTTCACCAGACAGAAGCCACATGAGTGACGTCTTTCTAACACAGAAGCTGAAGCTTTGATCAGCCAAGAGAGTCATGCAGCTGTGGGCCTAAAGACACATCCTAGTGCTGCTCCTGTGATGCCTGGGATATGCATCAGAGATTCCCTGAGGCTTGGCCTAAGTTCCAGGCTAGGCTGAGGAAATAAGCAACACTCCAGAACATTTCTCACCTCCATCACCCACTGCCACACCTATAATTGACCTTTATCTCCTATAGCTCCTTCATTCATTCCATAAACTCTTTAGTTTTGGCAGGGGAGTACTGGAGATTTAACCCGGGGTGCCCTTGAGGGTCTCACTAAATTGTTTAGGGCCTTGCTAAATTGCTCAGGCTGGCTTTGAACCCATGATCTTCCTGCCTCAGCCTCCTGAACTACTGGGATTACAGGCGTGTGCCATCACGCCCAGCTCATAAACTCATCTTGATTTAATTATCTGTATGTGCCAGGCATGATATAGGGACATAGCAGTAGCCAAAACAAATATTAAGTCATTCCCCATCTATTACAGTATCTGTGTCCCAAGGATAAGTACAGGAACTGTGAAACACATGACAGGGAGTCTGATATAGCTGGGGTTTGGGGATGATTTCCCTGGAGGAAGTGACTTTTAAGCAAAGATAAGGAGACCACACAGAGATGGCAACCCCAAGTGAAGACTGAAAGGAACAGAGCGCCTTTTGGGGACTTGAAAGAGACTCTGGACTGGAACAGCTAGTCAAAGGCAATGGGTGTAACAGGGCAATAAACCATCTTTTTCCTTTTTCTCAAAACCGTGTCCTCTGGGGCTGGGGATGAGGCTCAAGTGGTAGAGCGCTCACCTGGCATGCGTGCGGCCCGGGTTCGATTCTCAGCACCACATACAAAGATGTTGTGTCTGCCAAAAACTAAAAAATAGATATTAAAAAATTCTCTCTCTTAAAAAAAAAAAAAACTGTGTCCTCATTGGCAATGGGGACAAGGATGGAGCTTTCAGCAACATGGGGACAAGTCTATGAGCTCTTAGTCTATGTCAAAGCTTATACGTGTAGAGTTAAATCATTATTTATCCACAGGCTTTAAGTGCTGCCAAAAAGTCAATGACCTTGTTTACCCCACCATAGGATCAAGCTTCCCTCTGACTGCCATGACCCTGCTCCTTGACCTCCAAGTCCATGGATCTCCAAAAGCTTCGAGTGAGTAAGAACCCTTTGGAGGCACAATAACAATCCAGAATCTGGCTCTACCACCTTGGATTCAGAGCCAGGAGCCCCCAAGAAGAATCCATGAATCCAGATGTATAATTAACACACTTTGAGAACATGAGGTTTTTTAAAGCTTTTTATGTTTTTAATGCTTTTTAGGAAGTAATACATGCAGTATGGTTTTTAAAAAGTCAAACATTATTTAACAGTAAACAATGAAAAGAAGGCTCCCTCCTGCCCATTTCCCATCCTTCCATTTCTTTTTCCTAGAGACAACCACTATTGCTAGTCCTTGATTATCCTTCCAAAGATATACTTCATATTCAGTCACACATGTGGGTTTATGTATTCTTTAGCTTATATAACACACAAAGACTAGCATATTATGAACTCTTCTATACCTTTTTACTTAATAGTGTATCTAAAATAGCATTCCTTCCACAATACATATAGATCCACCTCATTCTTTTAAAGAATGATTTCCTCATTGTTTAGATATCATTTATTTTTACCAGTTACCTACTAGTGGACATGCTGAATGACCACTATTTTGCCAACTCAAACAGTATTAAAATAATTGCCCTTGTTGATTTGTGGTTTTTGTTTTGCTTGTGGTACTGGGGATTGAACTCATGGCCTCAGTCATGGTAGGCAAGCACTTCCCACTGAGTTACATCCCCAGTCCTTAAGGTCTCAAGTTTCTAAGTTCCCCAGGCTGGCCTCAAACTTATGATCATCTGGTCTCAGGTGTCTGAGTAGCAGGGATTACACGTGTGCATCACTACAGCCAGCTTATACATATGTTATTTTGCCTATGCTAAGAGTGCCTATAGGACAAATTCTTAAAAGTAGAATTGCCAGGTCACAGAGGGTGAGCATTTTTTTTTTTTTTAATTACTGTCAATCTAGCAAGTAAAATATAATATTACTGGAGTTTTCACTTACATTTCTTTGATTTTGAGTGAGGATGAACCCAACTTACTGCACTGATTTTTTTTTTCTTAATGACAAAAGTTCTTCATGAACAAATCAGCTATTTGTAGTAGACTTTGCAAATATTTTCCCCAGTTTTTTTATATCTTTTGCATTTGTATCTAGTTTTTTATCTTAAAATACAGAATTCAATGATATTTAATACATTCACTATATTGTGCATTCTTCACCATTATCTAATTCCAAACATTTTGCTTCTAGTTTTATTCATTCATTCATTCCAGAAATTGAGCCCAGGGGTGCTTAACCACTGAGCCACATCCTCAGCCCTTTTTACTGTGTATTTTGAGGCAGGTTCTCACTAAATTGCTTAGGGCCTTGCTAAGCAGCTGAGGCTGGTTTTGAATTTGCCATTCTCTTGCCTCAGCCTTCCAAGTCACTGAGATTACAAATGTGTGCCACTGATTCTAGTATTTTGTTGTTGTTTTTGGTGGTGCTGGGGATTGAACCCAGGGCTTTGTGCATGCAAGGCAAGCACTCTACCAAATGAACTATATCCCCAGCCCTGCTTCTAGTATTTTTAATACACAAATTTTTAAGACAGTCAGCTATAATCACTTTTTAATGGTTTTTAAAATTTTTTTTCTTCTTTTTAGTTATTCATGACAGTAGAATGTACTTACTTTTGACAAATTTATTGGCTCTTTTAGTTTTTTATTACGAAAGCCCATGGTTCCTTCTGCTTTCTCACAACTCAACACTTCCTCTTCTTTCCAGCCTACATTCAAGATCATTAGATCAACCACTATCTTATCAGCATACTCAATTTCTTCTCCTTTCACAATTAGCTTTCAAACCCCACCCTTGAATCTGTCCCACTATCTCCTGCCTCTTTGCACTAACAGGGAGCTGATAGGCACTAACTAGAGAGAAATCATATAACCACACTTATCATTCAACAAATATTTTTGATAACCTCTAGGTGCCAACACTATGCTAGGCCCCAGGTATAAATTTAGGGCCACTATAAATTTATGGTCTCTAATCTAAGCTGAGATCTTGATACCTGATTCCCTTTGTCCCTTCTCCTTGTCCCTGGTCACCTCCCTCTCCTGCTCCCATCCAACTATTCTCTACCTTCCTTATAAGGATTTCTGCTTTTCACAGACATTAGGCAGTGAGGATGAATGACTTCAACTTCCCACTCTACAAACACTGACATCTACACCAACTCTCCTACACCACCAAGGTTAAGATGCTTTTTTGGTTCAAAGCTAATCATTCCACCTGTGCTCACAGCTCTCACTTCCCTCCTCCTCAGAGACCTTAATTCATTGAACCAACCCTTCTCTTCAACCCCCTTTACTAGCTCTTCCTTCACAGTAAATAAACCCACACAATTCTTTCCACTGAAGGGAAGAAGAAAGGAGAAAGAGAAAGGAGGGAGGGAAGAAAACAAACTCCTCCACGCTTAGCTCTTTTTCACAGTAAAGTATATCTCTATTTTCTCTCTCATTTTTTTTAAACTTTTTTTTTTTTTTTTGGTATCTGGGATTGAATCCAGGGGTGCTTAACCACTGAGCCACATCCCCAGTCCTTTTTTAATATTTTAGAGACAGGGTCTTGCTTGGGGACTCACTAAGTTGCTGAGGGCAGCTTTGAACTTGTAATTCTCCTACCTCAGCCTACCTAGTCCCTGGGATTACAGGTATGCACTACCATGCCCAGCTTGAGTTGTCCTCAGAGACAACTACTTTCACTGTCTTTAGATGTTTCTGTTGACATTTATCTCCACATCTCCAAACACTTTTGACTTCTTGATTTTTTTTTTAAGCATTTATGGCTTCCCACCATAGAAGATAAAGACTGAACCCAATCACCAGGGAACAACTTTCATCTTGCCCCAACTCCAATTCTCTCAAGGGAATTATATCCTCAGTTTGGATCAGACCAATATTCTGTATTTAATTATGGCTATGCAAAGGTTATTTATGGTTGAGTCATGTGGTATATTATGATTTCCTTTCTGTTCTCATGCAACTATTTCCCCTAAATAACTGAGATTTTGAAATTTGCTTATTATCAGAATTTATCACTAATTCAGCAGTATACACTTCCAAAAAAAGTCTACATTTTGAACAATTCCAAAATTCATCTCTTTCATCTCCTTGAAGTAATCTCTCCAGGATCCTTCTGATGAACTAGCTGTTCTTTCCACCTGCTGTCCTGGAATTGCCTGGGCTGTAGCCCTTGTGGTGGTGGTATAGTGGTGAGCATAGCTGCCTTCCTGAGCCCAGGGGTTCCCAGTTACCTCTCAAGAATTAAGGCTTACTTCCTGGATCCTAGATCTTCCTCTTCTGGTTTAACTTTAATAACTTCCTGAGAGGGACTGGTGTTGTGGCTCAGTGGTAGAGCACTCACATAGCACGTGCAGGGCCCTGGGTTCAATCCTCAGCACCCTATATAAATAAATAAAGGCATTGTGTCCAACTACAACTAAAAAATAATTTTTTAAAAAAAT